ATACGTTAGCAGAGAGCCGGTAACTTGTTAATTATTAATCAGCATGTTTAATTCATATTGCGCGCGCCAGCTGTTTGTTTCCTTGATACGCGGTAAGGTCTCGCTACTTACTTATGGCAACGCTTAAACGTTACCGCGAGTAAACATTGTGCTCCGGGTACTTAGGAATTCTCTCCTCTCCCCCGCCTCGCCCCCGCTCCCCTCTTTACGCTCCCGCACCTGCGACTTTTTCTTTTGTCTTTTTCTCACCTTCCCGCGTCTCTCTTTCACCGAAGGAAGTCTCACGGTGTTGCATACCACGCATGCAAGCTGCAACGTGCACGTATCGCGTGCTCGCAAGGTCGTCTTTGTCGATGTACGACACGCCTCATCGGATTCGCATCCCCCTCATCAGGGGATGTTTTATCGTCTAAACTCATACTATAACTTTGAAATTTGTATGTTTTTTATTTGAGAAAAATTGACTATCAAAGATAATGACAGATGATTTGACAGGTGATTAAATTTTTTATATTGATCAGTGATTTGTATGAATCAATAATGAATTTACATTTTTTTTCCATTTTCCTTTATATCTTTTAAAGATCAGGATAAAGTAAATATATAAATAAATAATAAGAAAAATAAGGGGGAATTGCTAGAAATTTTTCTCGCAAAAAGAGATACGATGCGCACTTGAGGCGAAAGGAACTGTCGAAATAATGAACTTGACTCTCCTGAAAATTATTCCGGAGACGATCGATGTGTATCGCCGCGTGTATCCGTACGCTAACGTTCGGAGCGTGTGCACGGCATTTTATGTATTACTCGGGGAGGGGTGGTCTCGCCTGTGTCTTTCGCCCCGCGTTCTTTTTCTCAACGCACAACGGGGGTGTTTATGGGTTTATTATACGACCGATCTCGTCCGCTCGGCCGCGCATACACGCGCACGCGAGGAATAGGTGCACGTCCGTCCGCTGCGAATCGGACGCGTGCGAGATCCTTCCCTTTAGGACTACCAGCGTCTATCTCCCGCGCGTGCGGGACCATAAAAAAATATCCGAGTGGAGTGAAAATAAATCTAACCTTGGGGCGCGCCGAGACCAACCGACCGAGCGGTCGGGCTCCCTTAACGTGAGGTAATAGAAACGAATGGTCGCGTGTGCGAGAGGCAGAGAAAAGTACGAAAGCCGTATGTGAAAAAAGCGACCTCCCCGACGACGTCGCGACGGAATTCCACTCTATTCACTTTGTAACGCCTCGTTAGTCCGGCGATATTCCGCGCATATCGCGCTCGTTTAATGCGCACGTGAGGCCGCGTCAAGGCGTTTAACCAAACGTATCTTCAAGGTAAAAGTATGTTGGTTATGTCAAGCGTATGAGTGTATATGAATGTACATGTGAACTACATTTTTCATTTTGTTCCTTAAGCAAGACTTAAAGACCAAGATATTTATAAAAGAAAAGGAAGAAAAGAGATACAGTTTTCTATAAAGTAATTTATAATCTTATATTGTATGCAAAATACTTTCTAAATTTATCGTTAAACCGTTAGCGATATTAATGATGTACATTTAAATGTGTTATTTCGGAGAATACAAGCGAATCCATTTGTCACTTGAAACGCATTAACTCAATCGCTTTTACTGTGGAACCGCAGAATACATACAAGACCACCGAGCTGCAATGAAGCTCCCGCATGTTCTATACATAAGACGGGTACACAATTTCCTCTATCTTCCCCCAACTGGGCCGAGAAAAAGGGAAAATGTTATTGAAAGATCGCAGGTTGGAGAGTAGAAAGGCGAGTGTAGGGAAGAGAAGGATACGAAGAGAAATAACCACGAGGAAAGAAAGAAGAGAGCGAACAACGACGGCGAAGAAGAGATGAGAGAGGGATGTGGATGCCGAAGACAAGAGAAGGGAAGAACATCGGGTTTACCGCAGAGCGGTACCACCCTTAGCGCGGTCTGAGTTCATTGCGCGAGTCATCAGTATCCATAAGCGATGAGTTACCCCTCGCTCGCTTCCTCTCCCTCTTCCTAGTCTTGGCGGTGCAACCCCGTCGATGGAAGAGGAAGGTTAGAATCGGGGCACCTGGTTCGCTTGTTCGGCGCTCGGAGCTTCTCTCCTCCGGCTGGATGGTCGAAAGGATGGCGGGACCCCCGGCCACCATCGGGGAAGGACGAAGGCCGAGGACATGCGGCTGGCGCTACTGTGCCGGTAGTAGTGGGTGGTTGATTTTCTTAGGTCAACGTATAATCAAGCCACCGAGGAGAGGTACGATAGAGAAGAGGGATAGAAAGAGAGAGAGAAAGAGACAGAGACAGAGAGATAGAGAGAGAGCAGAGCACGGACAGCCATCGTCCTAGACCAATCCCCGGGCTTCGTCGGCGAACAGTCCCCCGAAAGCGAAGGCGAGCCAACCGGCGGCTTCACCTCGAGGAGAAGGAGCCTTCTCGAAGGAATCCTCCGGACTACCTTCGATACTCCGATCCTCTTCGAGAAGGATATTCTCTCTCGATAGAGAGAGTCGCGTTCGTGAACCACCAACCCTCTTGCAGAAACGCTACCCTGGAATAACCACGTCCACGATGGCTCTTACATACTACGTGGTTACGCGGCTAAAGTTAATAACGGATAGTCTGCCGGTGCACGCTTCGACGATTGAATTAAATGAGCAACCCGCCTCATCCTCGAAAGTTCACGGGATTACTCTCTTTCGGAATGATTAGATTTCGGAAAGCGGATGGTTGATTTTATGCTGAGGAATAGGCGCGATACTTATCACTGGCGCGAAATTATTCGTATTTTTGTCGTAATTTTGTTTGACGTATCTGATTATATTTTTACCACAATTACTCCAATTCCATTCTATAATTCTTTTTATTCCAAATTATATTTTTTATTACCACGCTCAATTATTAAACTTAATATATAATCGTGATAATATTATACTTAAGAATTCTTTTGTCTTTTTAGAGGGATGAAAAATACGAGATCCAGAGTTTCGAATTTATTTTCTTAAGTAGTTTGTGCAATATTAAAATCATTTTTAATTTACCCGAACAGTCTCCCACCTCTGCACAAATTAAATATTTCATAACATCAATTCTCTATTCGCGTCCATCGACCACTCACAAACTTGTAATGGCCATCTAAACGTAAACATCGGCTTAAGATGTCCCTTCGAATTTCGTGTCGCGTACGGGACGAAATGATATCGACTGATGAGACGATCGGAAAGAGATGGAGAGGGTATAAAGAGAGACGAGAGAATCGCGAGAGAGGAGACGGGCAGAAATAACCAGACGGCCGGCGGTCCCGAAACGTCGAAAGTCCGTGTTCTTGAAGGCAACGGGGCGAGATGGAAAAATTGCCTCGATGTAAAAACATGAGAATCGCTTCTCCGCCGTCCACACTCAATAAAACGACCTCGACCTAAGAGATACGCGGTCCATCGTGCCGCATATATATGGAATGGAGTACAAACACACACGCGCGAAAAATATACACGATCACTGCACACACACATACACACACACACACACACACACACACACACACACACACACACACACACACACACACACACACACACACACACACACACGTTCATGTCAACTCGAGCGGTTTCCTTTCGCAACATGGTGAAGGAAACGGGAGCACGAGAAAAGGACACGAGAAGCTTGAACGGGAGAAGGGAAGGAAGCGTCCACATCCAGTCGAGTGGTCAGCTATCGAAAACCTCCTACCCGCCGCCATTCTGTCCCACCCCCCCGAGAGACCGGCTCCATCGACCAATAATAAAAAATATACGATCTCTTCGGGCTTTCGCACACGGACGCAACCGACCGGCACGCCGATCTACGTAGACGTAGGCGAATTATACTTCGAGGCCGGTTCTAAGTGATCGCATTTCCACATAGACGAGCTGGCCCGATACGATATGAAAGACTGCCCGGTGCCGTTATTGCCGCGTGACGAGGGGGCTGAAAAAGGCCATCGCGCTAGGGGGGGCGCCATGAGATCCGAAACGAAACATTATCGAGTCGGGTATTTTCTTTTTTTTTTTTCGCCGAGATCTTTATGATCACCGCTTAAGAAAAAAATGGAGAAAAGGCTACGAGAGGGGAAAATTGTACGGTTTATAGCAGAAAAAACGGATATTAAATGCGTAACAGTCCTACAAAATTGTGCTGAAGTCTTTACCGATACATAATTCCATAGATTATTTCTTAGATTTTCACTTTTATTTCTAGTTTGCTTGTTACGCTTTATCAAGCACAATTTCTGACGGTGTATAACTGCCTTTTTCAGCCATTAATTTCAGGAATTAATTTTGATTTTTCTAAAATGGAAATTTTGTTTGGATATTTTAAGAAATATCGAGAAAGCATCGAGTTCGACTTCACGATAACTAACGAGCGTACACCGAGAAAGAAAAAGTGTTTGCTGGAAGAGCGTGAAACAGTTGCGCGAAATCTATCAACCGCGTTCCCCTTCACAGTCTCGGCGCCCTAGCGCGGCCAAGTTAACGGAAGAAAGATGATCCATTCGTCATAATATAAAAATGGCCATGACAGCGTTATCTGTGGCCATTTCCTGCAGTCGTAGCGCCGGTTCCCCGGGCTCACTTGTCACTATGCCGGAGGTAATGATCATTACTGAGGGTTTCAACCCTACGCGCGGTACAGAGATATACGAACCTCGTAAGAGAAGAGAGCGAGACTCGCGTAGACAGACGAGGAAGGAGAGAGGACCGTCTCTATGAAAAAGAGAAGACGCTGGGGTGGAGAAAACGGGCTGCGGGGGTGGAGAGCAAAAGACGATGATATAGACTGTGTTCTCGACCCTGCCTTCGCCTACTCCGCGATCCCCCGGCTACCCCAACCCCTCACGAGGGTGGGACAAGATGGCCGCTGGTAGGACTTCCCGGCCCAGGTCGGGTTTATGTGTAGTAATAAATGGTAATTTAAAACAGCGAGAACTAACAATTTCTTTCTTTATTTCTTCTCCAGTGCCCCGCGCTCAAGAGCGCCCACGACGAACGCCTGGCCGAGCGCACACTAACGCGTTGGGCAAACACACGAATACACGCGCGTGCACACCACGGGGGTACTGTTCGCACCTAGAAGGGTAGATCTTCCCGAAGGTGGTAAACGCGGGAGAAAAGCGTTCTGCGAGATCTGAGAGAATAGGGTGCTAACATCGCGCTGTGGGATAGTAGGAGAGGGGGCGGCTATGGTGGAAGCACTTTTGTCGGGATATACTCGAGCCAAGAAACCGTGAACCAGCCAGTCAGCCAAGCAGCCCACGTAATATAAAGAGATATGTGCCGCGGAATAGCATTACCATTAGGAGATATAGTTTAGCGGAGGAGGCGGCACAGATGAAATGAGATACTGCGGCTGAATCATGCATGAAGCGAAGAAGGTGCGATTCGCCGTTCTCCTCGCTCTCGACCGTCGCTGTACACGTTTATCTGTAAGTATGTATATGCGTTCATACGTGTGTGTATATTCGTGTATATAAACCGAGAGATATCAGGGTGATCTCCTCTTTGCCCTCCTAGTCGCGGATCTTCTCCGTCAACTTTCCCCGCCTTTTCTTACACTTTTCTCTTTGCCACCTTGCTCAACTTCCCGCCTTCCTCTCTCTCTCTCTCTCTCTCTCTGTCTGTCTGTCTGTCTGTCTCTTTCTCTCGCTCTCTTCGTCATCTCTATGTCAACTTTCCGTCTCCTCCTCGCGCAGACTCGATGAGAAAAGTGAATATGCTACAATATTCAAATGGCAGCTGCGCGACACTTTATTAAACGCGCTATTTGCATCGCCGCCAACGTCCCCCGCTCGCCCCCTCCCCTTTCTATTGCCCGCTCCCTCGCTACGTCGACCGACGGTCGACGGTCCTTTTTGGTTGCCGACCAGACAGAGACGAGCACGACGCCTGATTAAAAACTCGCCAGCGTGGTAGCTGTGATAGCGACGCGTTACGCTTCGCACGCTGAAAGTATTCGGATCGGGGATCGTTTTCTATCGCCGCGTAATCAAAATCACTAAAGTCTTGAATTAATAAAAAAAAAAAAGATTAATGAATTTCAAATAAAAAAAGGTAAACAATTTTCTTATAAAGAATGTTTAACGATTAAATAAGTTTAATTCAATATAAAGGAGCAAGGATTTTAGTATATATGTTTCTTATTCAAACCTCAAGTACGATGGAGATATATCTGTAAATGTCGGCTCGATAATTTCAGATGAATAAAGAAAGTATGTACAGTTTATAAAAAAAGATTTTGATTCATTATTATGAGAGTCGCGGTGCACGCAGAGATACTAGAAGAGTACTCGAGCATACTATCCCCGTAATTCTTCGCAGGACGGCTTGGGGAGCGCAGGCACACATTATGCTAATTTGTCTTTTAATCTCGTGGCACCACCGGTGCGTCTTCTCTTTTCGTTCGGAGAGGGAGGCTCGTATCCTCCAACCGAAATACAATCTGAGAGCGTGCAAGCGCACTATATACTTTGAAGAACATGATTGGTACTTATCATTTCTATTGAGAATCTTCAAGCAATTTGTTTGGACTTGCATGCGATTACAAAGATGGATTGGCTTAGAGTATGAAAATAAAAAAGCGATAAATTCTCTCTGATATATAAAAACGTTAATAATGTCTATTTTCTATTTTTCTAGCGTGTTCTATGTTCCATCGCGAGATGAAACATCCAGTATTTTTCTACGTCGGCGAATCCATCGCAGGAGCTCGAAACTCCGGGAGAGAAATTCCGACGAGCGCGGGTCAAAGGGCAAAAAGTGTCTTCGAAGAAAGAAATTCGGAATCACGACGTGAATGAAGTAGGCGGGAGGACCAGATGGTGGTGGCCGCGGAGACAGTAGTGGGAGCACTTATGCATTTATGCATTCATATTTCCGCGGTCTCCGTTCTCGAGACGAACCGTAAGACGACGACAACGTCGTCGTCGTCGTCGTCGTCGTCATAGGAGCGCCCGAACCACAGCGATATTCCACGCCGTCGAGAAAGAGGAAAGGTAGGGAAGCGAAAGAGGTGGGCGGAAAGTTGCTCCGGAATAATAATACACGCCGGCGCCCGCGCTAGCTCCGCTCTCGCAGGAAAAAATCTGAATACATGAAACGTAATGACAGAGTGTGTACGCCTCCGCTTTCGCCGGAGCGGTCGCCAGATTCAGGATAGCCGTGTCAGGAGGAGCAGATGTCGTAGGAGTGCCTGAACCAAGTCTTCGACTTTGTTACGATATCGGCTTATCTCGCAAATCGCGAAAAAACTCAAGGAGAAGAAGAATGTTACACCCTCCTATACGTCATATTTATTACAATAATTATTTAATAAAAATCTTCAGCTTACAGGAGTAAAAACTAGAATGTTTCGAGTCAAAGTCAGAAACAATGAGTAAAGAAATAAATTTTTTCATCACAGTTTTAATAAAAAAGATATAAAAATGATACCATTGTTCTTCGGTGAAAGAATCGCTGAAATTGTTGTTGAATGTCAAAATCTTGAATGCAATGATGACGTAAATTTGCTCGGTCCGCCAGTAACGATGATGACCATCGAAGAACGAGGTTATCGAGGACGACCAGAAGGACGTTGGCGAGAGAAAACAGTCGGGGACGCCGATGGCGTAAGGGTAGGAAGGTAGATGGATGAAAGGAAGGAAGGAAGGAAGGAAGGAAGGAAGGGCGCCGTCGTACCCGTGGCTCCGCCTATCGGCGCGCCGGCTCGCGGTGGTGAATACATTTAGCCTGGTTAGTTTACAAATGAATACAGCGATTGAAGCAACTTATAATATCAATGTACCTCCAACCGTCTCGCTCGCACGCCGTGCGCCACCCCTTGCTAGCATCTCGCTTCCACCCACTCTCTCGCGGGGTTCCATACAGAATGGCCATATTAACTTGATAATTAGCTCGGTTATACGACTTGCAGATGAGGAAAGACTCGGGACGGACGTCGGCTACCCCTACCAGGAGTGGTGCCAGTGTTCCTTGCTCTGCTCCCTATGCTATGCTCGACTCGGCCCGGCTCCTCGTCGCTCGTCGGATGGATATAGAACCCTTAGTTCGTATTCCTCTCCCTGTCTGCTAGGAACCCCGTCGTGGTTCGTCTCGCAGCCGGTAAATTCAAAGACGGCGACGACGACGTCGTCGTCGTTGTCATTCTCGCGCTCGTGCTTCCGGCGAGACACGTTTTTCGGAGTATCGGTCTCTCAGTGAATTTTCAAAGTGTCTACCCTCACCTCGCAAGTGACAGGGTTAATCTAGGTGATCACGTGCTCTAGCATGCGATCGCGACCACGTGCTACACAAGGTTACCCATGAGGATTGAACAAATGGCGAGATCGACGTTCGCCGTTTCTTATCAGCACCTTCTTATCGGGCTTATATCGTGGTAACGATAAAGAGGTACGTTTCGGCGAGGGGAAGCTTAAGCTAGAAAGATTTGCGCTGAAAGAGAGCAGTGCCGCGCGTCGCTTCGATTGTCGATCCACGACCGCGACCGTCAAGGTGACGACGACCTTCCTTCGACGTTGCCCGGATCAGGTGAAACGAGCCGTGCCATGTGCTAGGTGGCGCCTTGAGAAACTCAAAATGGCCGCACTGGCTGGCTAGACGAAAACAGCATCTCTCGCACGCGCGTTTCGAAGATGAACGGCGAGCCGAGTCGAGCCGAGCCGAGCGTCGCGTCGCTTCGCTTCGCTTCGCGCCGGCCCCATGTCCTCCTCTTTGAGGACTCGCGCTCGCCGAAGGTCTTGCCATCCGTCGCGCGCGATGCGGGAATACAAACTACCGAGGTATAACGCGTACCAGCGCATTCCGGGAGATGACTGGCATTGAGAAAGCTCGGCTTTGGAGCCGCTCCCGCTCGCTCGCTCGTCTCATTCGCTTCTCCGTCTACGACCGGAATACAGAGATGACGGCGGCCATATTAGGATTGACTTCTGCCTTTCCGTTCGTCTCCTCTCTCGTATTTTTCCTCCCCTTTCTCCCTTCGTTTTCGCCGTTCCTCATCTTTGCATTAAGCGACGTGTCTCTATAATAAATAATGTGGCAATCGCTTATCGTGACCTTTGAATGACTACGAAACGCGACTTGTTTACCTAAAAACTCGTGCGGATTTTTCGCGATGAATATCACTCACTTTTCCATCATCGATTACTTTCCATGAACATAAACAGCCTTTACAATCACACGTAATAATTTGATTTTAAAGACTTTCGCGTGCGTTTGCTTTATGCTTTCTTCATTGCGAATGCTGTTGCTGGCAAATTTCCCTGAGATAGAAAGATTTCTTCTTAATCATCTCGCGTCTTAATCAATATACAAGACTTTGTGACGTATTATAAAAGAAGTGTGAAGAAAACCGAGTTGCGCGTAGATAAATTATTTTCATTATATTATCATCAATCTAAAAATAACAATTTGAAAATATTAATGCTCCTTATGCAATATTAGGTAGAGCTATCGATTTAATTATAAAATCATCTAATTACCTATATTTTCCATCTTGCATTATTGTGATGCGATATTTTAGAATTATATTTGACAAGTAAACGAGACCTATGATTGCTGAATCGTACCGCTACACAGTAAAAAATTGTCCATATGTTAAAATTTTCTTGTGTTCATCACGTTTTGATTAGTACTTTAAAGTAAAATTAACATTCGACTTATATGTTATTATTTTTATAACGTTTTCATGTGACTTTACATTTATGTCAACTTTATAACTTAACACTTTGTACATGTCATCTCTTAGGAACACTTTGTACATGTCATCTCTTAGGAATATAATATTATTTTGAGTATTTTTGACATAATTATTTTAAACAGGCAACATGTGTCAAAGTTAGTTTAATATTCTAAGAAAAGTTTAAGTAAATCTTCAAACAATTTTGACATGACATACAAAGTAATCAAATTTGTTAAAATCAAATGTTTCTATTACAAATAATTTAAGTTAAAATAATTACTATGTTATGTTAATATCCTACATTGTCCTACAACAATTCTTACGAGTTATTGCAACTATTTTTCGTGTAATTTTTAATTAATTTGTATGTTATTTTTACATTACACTTAAAGTCACAATAACAAAAATAAATGTAAAATATTGTGTCAATTATTTAACATTTTTAGTTTGTCAATAACATACGAATGAGTTATTTTAACATTTAGAGTGGACATTCTGGGACATGTGAAAAATGTTATAATTAACATTTTATTTTTTACTGTGTAAGAACATCAATTTTATTTCAAAGTTAGAAATCTTATTCTGCCATTTTCGGATGTATCGCCTCCAGTCGCGCCTTTAATCGAAGACTATATATATTAGTTTTCTCGCCTTGTGACATCGTAGTGCGATATTTCAAGTTTAGTTCTGTACTTGGTGGCATTCGTTGCAAAATGATAGCCGCGGAATCGCCCTATCGTAAAGCGAAAGCAAACGAAGGAACGTCGGAGGCGGACCGGCGACACGATATGTACGTGCCGTCACGTACGCGACGGGGTTTTTACTGAAATCAAATCTAAATAAAGCGAGTTCGTAACACGGCGATATACATGAATGCCGCAAACTGTTCCCATGGCGGTACCCGTGAGATACCACTGCGTTTTATCACTATCTCAAAGTTTCAACGACAGAGCCATCGGCACATTCGTTAGTCGCGCTCGAATCCACATGTGATCAATCGGTCCATTTTTAATCCATCTGGCTCGATTTAACAATAATTAATATAATGGAGAGAAGAGGGAGAAAATGGAAAATGATAGAGACTTTAAACTCTCATGACATTTTGTGAAAAAATAAATAATTATAAAAGTCTCTTCAATATACTCGTATAATGATTTAACTAGACAAATCAATATTATTTGAGATTTAAATGCGCTGAAATCATTCTTAAAATTTTGTGTAATTCTTAAAGTAGTTCATTTAAATCCGAAAGTAAGACAATGCCCGCTATAAGGGATCAATTTTTAAGTTTACTCTTCGCGATTTATCGAGTGACGTCTTTAAAAATGTCATTGCTATCAACGTACTGAACTCTACCGACTATTAGCGAAGGGGACACATTTCGCAAAGCCCAGGATTGCGTCCCCGACGGTAATTGGCGTCACGTTGCACGCGGAAAACGAGTTTTCACGGGCGATAAATTCAAGAATAGCGCGAGCGCGACGAGAACTCGGCCGGTACCGCGGGGTATACGGCAAACAACAACACCTGCCGCGACTCGTGGGTGCCGCGAGGACGGTATATATATATATATAGGGAGGCCCGACAAAAGTAATGTATGCACCCTTGTACCCTGTACAATGGAAACTCCGAGAGAGCGGAGCCACCTGAGCCTGCAGGCAGGTCCGAGCACCATTCGGGCCGGCTGTTTGCAATCGACGATGCGGCCGTTGTAGCTAATTATTTTCTCTCTCGTATCGATTCAGCCGCGTGAGAATATATTATTATTACACCGTTGTCTAAGAGATTCGGGAAGAAATGCGATTCGACGATCGTCCCGCGAGTCCCGCTTATGGGTCGTTATCTATCGATTCAGCTGCTCGTGGAGTTCCGCTAATTATTCGCGTAATTTTACATTAGCGGCAGTGTCATCGATCTCTACGACGCGCATTACATTTCCCGCGCGCGAATAGTTGGCCTCTAATTATTCGCACGGCAAATAATAACGCACGCACGTCTTCGACGCGATAACAAGCCAGCCGACGCCATTATTTTTTTCCCTCGTCCTCGACGGAGGACTCACGGCGAATTCCGGACTGGCAAAAGGAAGAGGGAGGAGACGAGAGAGCGAACTGGAACGAGAAGTCAGGGCACTCAGCGTGGCTAATTGCTCAAATCATTAAGAAAAAAACATGAAATCTAAGGCTCGCCGTACAGTGGGAAGCGTAGTAGATAGCGATCGACCGCGCGTATACCGTAATGAAAATAATCACGGTAGTGGCGGCAACGATAACTACGTTTCGAGCTAGATTTATTCGCGGTTCGTCGCATCCTCTCATTCGTTTGTCCTTGCATCAGACGTTTTCCGATGCGTCGGAAAGTTCGATCGCGAGAGCCGCGAAAATCTATTTTATAAATTTCCATTTCGCTTCGAGCTTTCATTTCACACATTCGCAATAATATAAGTAACGTATAAATTCTATTTCTTTTTTCTCTCTCGTTAATCTTTTTCCGCCTTTGAAACGAAACAAGTATATAGTGTAAATCAGTTACACAGTAAAAAATTGCGTCCATATGTTAAAATTTTCTTGTTACCACGTTTTGATTAGCACTTTAATGTAAAATTAACATACAACTTATATCTTATTATTTTTATAATTTTTTCATGTATTACATTTATGTCAACTTAACACTTTGTATATGTCTCTTAGAAATGAAATATTATTTTGAGTATTTTTAACATAATCATTTTAAACAATCAACATGTGTCAAAGTCAGTTTAACAGTCTAAGAAAAGTTTAAGTAAATCTTGAACTTTGACATACAAAATAATCAGATTTACTAAAATCAAATGTTTCTATTACAAATAATTTAAGTTAAAATAATTACTATTATGTTAATGTCCTACAACAATTCTTACGAGTTATTGCAACTATTTTTTCGTGTAATTTTTAATTAATTTGTATGTTATTTTTACATTACACTTAAAGTTACAATACAAAAATAAATGTAAAGTATTGTGACAATTATTTAACATTTTTAGTTTGTCAATAAGTAACATACGACGAATGAGTTATTTTAACTTAAAATTTAGAATGGACTTTCTGGGACATGTAAAAAATGTTATAATTAACATTTTATTTTTTACCATGTATCACGCATTGACTTTTTTCTAGTTTATGATTTTACAAAAAAAAAATCAATGCCATTTCTTTATACAAAATAAATTATTATGCACGTGCAATATTAATCTTGCGAATAAAAATGAAAAAACTAAGAGCCCTTTTTGATTACACGTTATTCTCGACAACGAAAATCCGTTTAAAGTCGATGAATCACGTCTACGCGAAATTTCGTCGCAATGCGAAAGCGCTGCGGCCAGAAGCAAGAGAAAAAAAAACACGAGAGAAGTAAGAAAAGAGCAAGAAGAGAAGGAGCAAAAAAGACAGAGGGAGAAAAAAGAGCGAACGCGCGGAGGAATAAGAAAACGGAGGAGTGCGGCCGCGCATTTGCGTATTGTTATGTTAACGCCCGCGCGCGAAGTAACAATCGGCACCAAGCACAATGGTGAAATCCCGGCTGAAAAGGGGGCCAGGGAGGTTGTAGAAGCCGAAAGCAAGGGTTGGCAAGGGACGCGGGCGGGGAAACGTTATCGCATTATCGTATTGCGGCGCCTCGTTGCCGGGACTCGCTCTGCCCTTACGTAAATTCCTGCAAACAAAGATTTACACCG